GTGGTTATTTTTATAGTGGGGGTGTGGAGAGGCATCAGGGTTAGAAATGGGATTTGACAAGAGGGAGGAGGATCGAGATCCTTCTGAGGAATAGCTAACTATTGGTGGGCCGATAAATGGGCTCTCTTTTGTAAATATAAGGCTAAGTTTGTCGTCTTTGAAGTTACCGTTTGATTTCCGGCCCAAAATGGTTCCATATCGCTCGAACTTTTTTTTTTTTAATAATTAAGGTAATATTCAATTTTGGGGAGACGTAGCTATGTATCTGGGTTGGGTCGGCCGTCAGCCAGATTGGGACAGTTGACCATGTCGATAAGCCCGCTGACCACGAGGTTTAGGCCCGACATGGCATCTGGGCTAGGTCGGCCGTCAGTCGGACTAGGCCATTGTTAGGCCCTACATGAGAATGGACCCGTGTATGGGACATGCCGATTTTGGGTCAGGCTCTAAATTGAAATCGGAATGCCCACGACAAAATTTCAACTTCAAATCTAATTTTCAATTGAAATAATTTATGGGTCGAGTCGGGCCAGACACAGAACTTGTTGGGGTTCTTCCCAAATCTAGGTTGAACTAGTTGAGATGAGCTCCTCCCAAACCGCCTTCAAATCGCCACGAAAACCTGGAAGAACTCAATGTCGAAGGGTTTTCCGGCGTAGAGCCTCTGATGCTTAAGTCAATAACAAGAAAAGAGAAGATGCTTGTAGAGAAGAACAGCAACAGGATATGGAAAATGTATAATGAGTGTAAAAGTTAGGGCTTGGTGTTACCTCAGTCCCTTTTATAAAAGAAAATACCTACTCAAAATACCCAAAAAGCCCTAGGTCGACCAGCTTGACCGTCCGGTTTATCTGTATTCTAATCACCTCTTAATTAGATTTGATTCACCTTAAGATTCCATCTTATTCCATAGAGATTCATATTTATCCATTAAGCACGTTGAATATCCAGAATATCTTATCATTGTACACCTCGAGCCTCGAGGCATAAAGAGTCGACCTCGAAAAGCAAGAGGTCGACTTAGAGTTGACACGTAGATGAAATATAACAGGACACTCTACTTCTCGCCCTTGAATCGTTCTCGTCTTCTTAATGAAGTAAGTCGACCTCCAGTTAGAAAGTTAAGGAAGTCGACTTGTGGTGTCGACTTCCTCTGTCGTGGTGACATAGGGAGTCGACCTCGAGCTGCAAGGGGTTTGAGGTCGACTTCAAGAGGCTCCCCATGTTGATGGGAGCTATTGTTGATTTGTTCATCCTTCACTAGTGTCGAGTCTAGAAATGAGGTCTTTATGAACTGCTTCTTTGACTCGACTCGACTTAGGTAACTCGCCTTCATACCCAGTCGAGCCGCTATAACCGGTGTATCCAAGTGTGGCTATATCAGAACTGGTGGGCCCAAATCAAAATCAGGAACCAGAATGATGTTTCTCTCGAGCTGGTTATGGTTCCATGTGATTAGGCCAGGTGAAGCCCGAAACCGGCGGGCTAGGCCGTCGGCTATGTCTACTCTCTTATATATAAATGCAGCTTAAGTGATTGTATTAAATCTTGTATGTTTATTTCTTTATTTTTTTTCGGTGCAGAAAAAAGAGGCCAAAGTCTAGTCTAGGACTTGTCGGGGTTGCGATACCCCCAAACTATCATGTTCGAGCCAAGTACTTAAGCTGGGAGGAGGAGAAGGAAGCATTTGAATCCCGAAAGGGTATGAAGCCGCTATACGGGCTATGAAGTCCGCTGCACAGTTAACTTCGCGGTGCACATGTTGAAACTTAACCACCCAATCTCGAGTAAGAAAGTTCATGGATCGATCGCAGCCGTGCATTATTAAGACCGATGTCCTCGGCCAAGCAATTAACCAGCCGTGTAACACTAAGATTGACAACTTCCACTTCGACTTTCGGGGACCTTTGGTCCCAAGCCAACGATAGGCCTTGGAACACTCCCCAAAGCTCAGCGCCAAGCATTGTGTCCGCCCCTATATTCATAGCAAACCCCACGATCTAACGACCCATCTCGTCACGTATCAGTCCCCCGGCACTGCTCAAGCCCGTAGAATGATTGACTGAGCCATCTGTATTAATCTTCACCTATTCCGCTGTCGGTGTAGACCACCACACCATCCAAGTAGTGTAAACATTGGCCCCGACTCGCCGATAGTCTGCTGCCTCACGCAAGTAATTCTCGACATCTCTCAGCACAATTTGGTGCCTCGCTTCCAAGCTGGGATTAGTGTGTGAAAACACGCAGTTGTTTCGCCAATTCCGTATCCTCCAGATTGTCATCGCAAAAAGGCAGCCCCAGTTATCGATGTTGCCCAGCCGTGTTGAGAGGAGGTTCCGCCGCAACCAGACATTGATTTCGAGACCAAAGAATGCAGGAAGTTTAGCCGCTGGTAGCAGGCGAGTCCACAACATCCTTGCCGGCGTACAATCCCTCAAAATGTGCATGATCGTCTCGTCGCCACCACATAACTCACAGGCCCCGGACTCCGCAAGGTGACGTCTGACCCGTTCGGTGTTGGATAAGAGTCTTTGTTTCACGACCAACCATAAGAACGTCCGAACCCGCTGTGGAGCATGTGTGCGCCAGATTAATCGCCACATTTTGGGTTCTAGCTCCTGATTGCAAGGCACTAACATTCGATAAGCAGACTTCGTCGTAAACCGTCCATCCTCAGAGTTACCCCAAATAAGCCGGTCCTCTTCCGCCGTGAGTCGAGGGGTGGGAGTCCCAGCAATACGTAGAATCACGTAGGCCTTAAATTTTACCCATACTTGTTATAACTTTTAAAATAATAAAATCATAATTATATTTTAAAACTTAATAGCCTTCTTATTTGTTATCAATTTTCATATTTAAATATAATATTATTTATTTTTTTACAATCTTTAATTTTTATAACCAAAATTTCTTTTATCTAACTTTACGGGTGAGCCTTACAAGTGATAGATGTTACTTTACATAAAAATCATAATATGAATATAAATTAAAATTAAATGTATTTCTTAAGATATTAAATATTTAATTAACACCTTTATAATAAGTGGATTTTGTACAACTACTAATAATAAATCAAAGAAACCAAATAAAATGAGAAAATCCAATTATCAATTTAGTTAATACTAAACTAAGTCTACCTATAGTATCAACACAATACATAGAAAA